GCTTTCTTCATGGATGACGTTCTTGATGTCATCCCACAATTCCTCTGGTTTTCAGTCATTGGTGTTCAGTGTATCAAATTTATTCTTTAGATGGTCTCTATATTCAGGAGTAATATAATCAAAGTCATATTTTGGCTCTCCTGGATTTGTTTTAATTGTCTTCAGCTTCAACTTGAACTGGCATATGAGCAGTTGATGGACTGTTCCACAATCAGCTCCTGGCCTTTTTGTGGCTGAAGGTATTGAGCTTCTCCATCACCTCCTGCCATAGATGTTGTTAATCTGATTCTTCTGTACTCCATTTGGTGAAGTCCACGTGTATAACCACCCTTTGTGTTGTTGAGAAAAGGTATTTGCAATGAATAAGTCATTGGTCTTGCAGAATTCTTTCATGCAATCTCCAGCATCATTTCTATCACCAAGGCCATATTTTCCAACTACTGGTGATTTTTCTTTGTTTCCAACTTTTGCATTCCAATCACCAGTGATAATCAACACATCTTGGTTGCATGTTCGGTCAATTTCAGACTGCAGAAGTTGGTAGAAATTTTCAATTTCCTCATCTTTGGCTTTGGTGTTTTGAATAATAGTAGTATGAACTGATCTTCCTTGTAAGTGTATGGATATTATCCTGCCATTGGCATTAAATATAAATGGTCTAAATACCCAAATTAAAAAACAAAGACTGTCCATATTTGATAAAAAAGAAAAGCAAAACCTAATTAAATGTTGTCTATAAGAAACCTACTTCAAATATACATATATATATATATATAAAATAAAAGAGTAGAAAGAGATACATCATGCTAACACTAACACTAATCCAAAGAAAACTGAAGTTGGCTATACATAGAACTTTCAATTATACAGAACATCTTCAGGGCCATAAAACAAAGGAACACAAAAGAATTAAAATCATGCAATCTACAATCTCTCACTAAGACAGAAATAAACTAGAAATTACTAACAGAAAGATAACTGGAAAATTCCCCAAAATTTGGAAATATGTAGAACACATGTAAGTAAATGAAGAAATAAGAAGAAAAATTAGAAAATATTTTTAAATGAATTAAAATGAGTCTATAACATATCAACATTTGAAGCATTGCAGATATAACAGTGCTTACAGGGAAAGTTACAGCATTAAGCATTCACATTAGAAAAGAAAGTGTCTCCAATCTATAACCTAAGCTCGTTATCTTAAGAAATAGGGAAAGAAAAGCAAATTAAACCCAAATTGAGTGGGAGAAGTAAAATATAATCAGCAGAAATCAGGGAAAAGAAATATCATTTAAAAAAAGATGAAACCAAAGGTTATTCTTTAAAAAAAAAATTAATAAAATTGATAAGCCTAAGCTAGACTAACAAAGATAAAAAGATAAAATACAAATTGCCAATATTAGGAATGAAAGAGGGTACATCACTATAGATACTATAGAAATGAAAATGATAATAAGGTGGTACTTTGAATAACAAAATCATAGCATGTCACAGACATGGAAACCCAAACCAAACCTAGCTGACTGCTATCAAGTTAATTACAACTCATAGTGACCCTATTGAACAAAGTAGAACTGCCCCATAGGGTTTCCAAGGCTATAAATCTTTACAGAAGCAGACTGCCCCATCTTTCTCCTGTGGAGCAACTGGTGTGTTTGAACCATTGACCTTTTGATTACCATCTGAATGCCTTAACCACTGTGCCACCAGAGTTCCTTTAAGGGCATGGAATTTAGGCTAAATACTTCCACTGGGCAAATCTGTGACCATTTGAGCACCAAGATAACCAAATACGGTAATAAATTGTAAGACACTGAAAAGTAAAAAATTAATCTATAATTCCATACTGATAATAAATAGGTGCTTAATGAATGGAAAAAGGAGGGCTCTTTCTTACAATAGAATACCAAGTCCTGATTGATAAATGTGTAGAGAGTACTGTTGTTGTTGTTATGTGTCGTTGAGTCGGACCTGACTCATAGCGACCCCTCCTTGGGTTGCCGAGGTAGTATCACTACGAAGTAGAGTTTGAAAATTATTATTTTACAACCACTGTAGTAAAGATTGATTCAAGCAGAAGTCACCAATCAATGTGAAATGTAGGGAGAATTTAGATAAGAAGCAAGTTCTGTGCTTGGTCTTAAAGACATCTTTGCTTCAAGATGTGATACCCTTAGTAGGACACAACATCAGTCACCTAGTATTTGAACTGGTAGTACATAACCTGAATAACCTCGAAAGAGACTGAGCACACCATTGCCTCAATATTACTCTTTTAAAATGATTTAAATAATTTAGGTTGAGTTTTCTGAGGTATCTTCATATGTTATTCTCTAGCTGAGCCTAACTAAAAAATCAGTCAGTTTTATTCCAGAGCCCACCCCAGTATACCTGGGCTATATCCCACTGCCACTGAGTCGATCCTGACTCATAGTGACCCCCATTGGGTTTCCAAGGCTGTAAATCTTTATGGAAGTAGATTGCCCATCTTCTTTTCACAGAGCAGCTGGTGGGTTTGAACCACCAGCCTTCTGGTTAGCAGTCATATCCCTTAGACATTACACTACTGGGCTATATATTGCCTTTCAGTTAAAGGAAAAAAAGGACTTGAATGTTTTAGGGAGATGATGCCAATGTGCTATCTAAGGCCTTGATTCTGATAAAGCTATATAGAAAAACAGTGGCCTCTCAAGTGAGTTCTTTCTGGTTTTGGATTTACTTTTTTTATTTAGAAATCATTTCACACTTATTAAAATGTAAGAATAAGAAGAGTGCAAAGATTACCTATATACTTTGCCCAGACTTAACTTTTAACATTTTACCCTATTTATTAGCTGGTTAGAATATTGTTTTAAATTTAGCTTTCCTTTATGCCAAATTGAAAGAAGAATTTTTTGTTACTGTTTTTTCTTTTTTTTAATGTAATAATTTGTCCTAAAGAGTCTTTAAAACTGAGGAGGGTACACACATTTGTATTTTGAAACTCAGCTGTCTTGGGGCCTATTTGTGGTTTTGCTGGAACTCTTAGAGTTGAGATAGCCTAATTTATCTAGGACAAAGAATAATATTGCAAATTTCTGTAGTGGTGAAAAAATTCACATGGTTTCTGGTGAAAGTATGTGGGGGGAGGGCAGGTATGTCAACCTAATGATTATGAAATCATTGAGGTGAAGATTTGGGAAGAAATCATATTGGGACTAAAGAAGATAAGTAAGGAGCTCTCGTGGTGTAGTGGATAAGGCATTTGACTGCTAACCAGAAGGTCAGTGGTTCAAACTCACCAGCCACTCCATGGAAGGAAGATGAGACCATCAACTTCTATAAAGATTTACAGCCTCAGAAACTCAATGGGGGTCACTGTGAGTTGGAATCAACTCCATGGCAGTGAGTGTTCCTTGATTAAGTTTCACTTAATGGGGCAGAGTTCCCAACTTACTGAGCATTCAGATATAGTTGAGAGAGAAGAGTAGGGTGATTAAAATATATTGATAAACTTATTTCTATTGGTCCGTTTAGTGCTGAGGTCCAAGCTCTGTAGTTAGGTTAGTTAATTTACCTCCTGTTCCTCCCTGTTGTAGGAGGTATGTAAAAGAAGAGTTTAGGGTACCTTTTCCTATTGGCCCACAATTCACGAAACTAAATTCCTTATAAAACCTGGAACTTTAATGTGTCAGGGTTTAAAAAAATAGTTTTTTGTGCTTGAAGACTTCTGTAGTTATAATAGGGCCTGGATTGTCAAGGACGTAAAAAGTTCTCATTTTCTTAGAGTAAGAAATGTAAAAGGATTTTATGACCACAGAAGGGAAGTTCCAAAACATTGATATAAACACAAAAATCAGCTGTATGAACACAAATACTGTAATACTAAAGCAAGTTCCAAAAGGAAATTGAACATTCTATAATGAGATTAGGGTCTGGGGATATCAGTTGGTTAAAGTGTGGAATATTCACATAATCCACATCCATAAAATTGAATTATTAAATATTAAATGTAACTAAGACTAGCTCTGGTAGCATAGTGGCTAAGGCACTTGACTGCTAACCAGAAGGCTGTTGGTTCAAACCCACCAGCCACTCCCCAGAAGGAAGATTGGGCAATCTACTTCTGTAGTGATACTGCCTCGGAAACCCAAGGAGGGGTCGCTATGAGTCGGGTCTGACTCGACGGCACATAACAACAACAACAAGACTATCTAGCAACATGTAAAAAGACTTTGACATAATTAGGAAACATCAGAATACACATTTTTTATATATTATACTTGTAACTAAAACTACTTATAATTGTGAATAAGACATATAATGCACTCTGCTGCCAACAGAAAGGTTCCCAGTGACATTCAGGAGAAAGGTCTGGTGATCTCCAGATTAGCTGTGGAGCACAGTTCGCCACTGACACACGTGGGGTCAGCCATCCTGATTTGGAATGACCTGACGGCAACAGGTTTAATAGTTGTGTTGTAGAGGTAAACACGCAGGTGATTTTTCCTGCTCTACTCTTTTGCTCTCAGTAATGTTGTATAGCATTTATGATCAAAGGAAATTAACTTCTTTTTCTAAAATTGTCTGAATTTTGAAATCTTGTCAGGATTCTTTGGTTAGCAGTTCAGAAATGTATGGCCAGAAGAGAGGCATAGACTCCTGCTCTTGGCTCCTGTTAGAGACAAAGGCCTGGAAGTTTTGCTTCCATAAAGATTACAGCTGAAAAAACCCAATAGAGAAGTTCTGCTCTGTAACACATGGGGTTGCCGTGAGTCAGGGACCAACTTGACAGCAGCTAACAACAGCAGTAACAGAGATTGGACTTGTGTGGAAATTGAACCTCTCGGGAAACTTACTCTAATTAATCTCCCTAGAAGTCCTCTAGACCCAACCGCATTGCCTTGAACTCTGCTTGTTTTCCTCTCAAACCCAAGGGTGGGCCCTGTCTGTTTGTGACTGAGTATTCAGTCCTTTCTGCAGTGCTAAATCTGGAATTGTCTCTTTCAATCTCCCTCCAGGAAGCGCATTTTCAACTGAACACCTCAAGCTTCAACTCCAAAAGGAATCTTTAAATGAATTGAGGAAAGAGTGTACTGCACAAAGGTAAGCACAACTTTGAGAATAATTGCTGTGAGTATTGAGTTTACTGTGGGGATAACATTTGGAAAAGTAGCATTCTTTCAGAATTGCTGGTATTAATTTATATTCCACACACCTCAGTGTCATGTTTATTTTTATTAAATATGTGCTGTGTGCTGTGCAGAGTCCCTGGGTGGTGCAAATGATTAATGTACTAGCTGCTATGCAGTAAGTTGGAGGTTCAAGTTCCGCCAGAGGCTGCTCAAAAGAGGCGAAGATGATCTGCTGACAAACAAGCCGTTGAAAACCCTTTGGAACACAGTTCTGCTCTACCACACCCTGGGTCTCCATGAGCTGGAATTGACTAGACAGTAATGGGTGTTGATGTACTTTGTACTGTGCTAGAGGCCAGTTATGAGAACTCCCAGTACATAGTCACAGTCGGAAACATGAACCTGTTCTTCCAGTTTCCTAAACCTCAGCACCATGGCTTAATCTTTGAATCCTCTCTTCCTCCTGCCATCTACATGTAGTTTAGCTTAGAGCTTTTCTTCAGATTCAGTCTTCCTTCTAATTAGCTCAATTGGATTACCTCCACAGCTTCCTAGGTTATCTCAGTAACATCAGTTTCTCCATCTTTCTAGTTCATCTTCCATGTTGCTTTCAGACTTCTCCACTTAAAATACCATTTTTACCGTATCATTTGTCTGCTTAAATGGTGATACTTTTGCTTAACTTTCTAATACTCTTCAATAAATTGACACTATGTAATTGCACTTTAAATTCATTCTCTCCCTACCTTTCATTTAACAAGTGCTAATAATTTTCCTTCTTATTTTCCATAGTAACTATTTGATTTGTTGCTACTTCTATGCTTTTGCTCATCTTTGCTTATTTTTCCTGAAAGTCCTCCTTTACTTCATTTTTCATCGAGAAACCTTAGCAATTGAGTATTCAAGAATGTTAGGCCTGGAAAGAATCATCTTTCCGAAATAAGACGATCATGCCATGATAGGAAAACAAGGTTCAGGGAGGTTATTACTTGTCCCAGTTCATTAACAAAGGCAGAAATTTATCTCATTTCACTTTTCAGTGTTCTTTTCATTATACCACAGCTTTCCTATTCAAGATAGACTTATGGCTTCTCCTAAATTATTTTTTATCTTAAATTGTTAACATAGCTGAGAAGGTAATTTGTTCCTGGTATCTTACTTATTGGTCATGTTTCTCAAATAGTTCAAGAAGGAGCTGGGCCATCTCATTCTACAGTTTTTGGTTTGCTCTTTTTACTCTGCTTTTCTTTTTAATGTCAGCAGGTTATTTTTTTCATTTTTATTTTAATTTTTTTGAGATAATTATGAGTGAAAGATAGAATACTATTTTCAGGAAATACCATATGGTATTCCTTAAATAGAGGTATAAGACCTTGCTCAGTTTACTTAACTTGTCTAAGTCTCAATTCTTTGTCTATAAAATGATCCAATAACACCACCTTTGTACAATAGTAGTAAAAGTTAAATAAAACCACTTGTAAAACAGCTAGAATAGAGTAGAATAATGATTTGTATTATCTGTATATCTTAGCACAGCTCTGGTCACAGACAATGGCTGTCAGCTTGATTAGTAGCATTTGGAGATAGATCAGGACTCATGGTAGCTATTATTCTTGCCTGTACTTTTGCATTTATGGTGGCATATTGCACACTATTTATTCTTTCTCTGCATCATGTATGTGGACATGAATGTTAGAAAATTAATGCTAGAAATTATGTGAGTTTTTTTTTAATGAATGTGCTTTCCTCTTTCTTATTAGAGAACTTTTTTTGAAGACTAATGCTCAGTTGACAATTCGATGCAAGCAATTACTATCTGAGCTTTCCTACATTTACCCTATTGATTTGGTAAGTTTTAAATTTTCTGAAAAGAAACTTCATTTTGAAAATATAATTTCAGTTTGAATTTTCTTCCCAATGAACAAACCTGTTGCTTTAATCTTAACAGATGCTCTGGTATAATTCATTCAGGAGCTAATATCTATTTATATTAATAATTGGATTTAATTGGCCTTAGTTTCCACAGTTCATTTTTTTTCTTTCATATATACTAGTGGTGATATGCACTCACCTTTATCTAAAAGAATGCCAAATTAGTTCTGGTTTCCTTAGGCTCTTTTCAGACAACTAAATTATCTACTACCACCATTTCCAAATAAAATTGATCAAACATACAGTCAGGATGCATTGATAGTTACTGGTAGTTGGAATGTGAAACTTACAAATGAGAAAGGATCAGTAGTTGGAAAATATGACCTTGGTGATAGAAATGACACCAGCGTTCACATGATAGAATTTTGCAAGACTAACAACTTACTCACTGTAAATACCTTTTTTTCAACAACATAAATGGCAGCTATACACATAGACCTCACCGATGGAATACGTAGGAATCAAATTTATTACATTTGTGGAAAAAAACAAAGGAGAAGCTCAATATCATTGGTCAGAACAAGGACAGGGGATGACTGTTGAACAGACCATCCATTGCTCATATGCAAGTTCAAATTGAAGCTGAAGAAAACTAAAACAAGGCCACAAGAGCCAAAGTATGACCTTGAGTGTATCCACCTGGATTTAGAGGCTATCTCAAGAATAGATTTGACACCCTGAACACTAAGATCAAAGAACAGACAAGTTTGTGGAATGATATCAAGGATATCATATAAGAGGAAAACAAAAAATAAAAAGATGGGAAAGAAAGAAAAGACAAAAATGGATGTTAGAAGAGATTATGAAACTTGCTCTTGAATGTAGACTAGCTAAAGCTAGTGGAAGAAATGATGACGTAAAAGAGCTAACCAGAAGATTTTAAAGTAAAGTATTATAAAATGTGTAAAGACTTGGGGTTAGAAAACCAAGAGGAAAAAACATACCCAGCATTTCTCAAGCTGCAAAAAATTGAAGGAAAAAATCCAAGCCTTGGATTGGACTCTTGAAGGATTCTATGTGAAAAATATTGAAAGATGTAGGAAGCATCAAAATAGGATAGCAAGAATACATAAAGTCTCTGTACCAAAAAGAATTTCTCAGTGTTCAATCATTTCAGGAGGTAGCATATGATCAAGAACCAGTGGTATTGAAGGAAGAAGTCCAAGCTGCACTGAAGGCACTGGCAAAAAACAACCCTCCAATTGACAGAATGCCAATTAGTATGTTTCAACAAATGGATGCAGTGCTGGAGATGAGCACTCATCTATGCCAAGAAATTTGGAAGATAGCTACCTGGCCAACCAACTGGAAGAGATACATACTGTGTCCATTCCAAAGAAAGGTGATCCAACAGAATTCCGAAGATATTGTACAATGTCATTAATATCACATGTTAGTAAAATGTTGCTGAAGATAATTTAAAAATAGTTGCAGCAGTACACGGACAGAGAACTTTCAGAAATTCAAGGCAGATTCAGAAGAGGATGGGAACAAGGGATACCATTGCTGATATTAGATGGATCTTGGCTGAAAGCAGAGAATACCAAAAAGATGTTTACTTATGTTTTATTTTTTTATGCAAAGGCATTTGACTATGTTAATCATAAGAAATTATGTATAACATTGTGAAGAATGAAAATTCCAGAATATATCATTGTGTTCATATGGAACCCAAACATGGATCAAGAGGCAGTCATTTGAACAGAACAGAGGAATACTGTGTTGTTTAAAATCAGGAAAGGTGTGCTAAGCAAATAACCCAAGATGTTGGACTATATGAAGAAGAATGTGGCATCAGGATTGCAAGAAGACTTGTTAATAACACACACAGATGACATAACCTTGCTTGCTGAAAATGAATATTTGAAGCATTTATTGATAATCACAGACTACGGTCTTCATTATGAATTATACCTCAACATAAAACAAAAATCCTCACAAATGAACTGATAAACAGCATCATGATAAACAAACAAAATATTGAAATTGTCAAGGATTTCATTTTACTTGGATCCATGGAAGCAGCAGTCAAGAAATGAAATGAAGTATTGCATTGAGCAAATCTGCAAAAGATTTCTTTAAAAAAAGAAAAGAAAAGATGTCACTTTGAAGACTAAGATATACCTGCTTTTCAATCACCTCATATGCATGTGAAAGCTGGAAAATGAATAAGGAAGAGTGAAGAACTGGTGCACTTGACTTATGATGTTGGTGAAGAATATTGAATATGCTGTTGCCTGCCAGAAGAATGTCTTAGAAGAGGTACAGCAGAAAGCTCCTTAGAAGTGAGGGTGGTAAGACTTTGTCTAATGTACTTTGGACATGTTATTGGGAGAAACCAGTCTTTGGAGAAGTACATCATGCTTGGTAAAGTAGAGGGTCAGCAAAAAAGAGGAAGACCCTTAAGGAGATAGATTGGCACAGTGGCTGCAACGATGGGCTCAAAACACAGCAATGATTGTGAGGATGGTGCAGGCCCAGGCAATGCTGCGTTCTGTTGTACACAGGATCAGTGTGAGTCAGAACTGACTCGAAGGTACCTTGTAACACGACCGTTTCTATTATTTACGGACAGATTCATGCAGGTACATATGCATTGCTTTTAAAGTATAAGCTTATATCAACTTATATTTATTAGTGCTACTTACAATTTTCCTGGGGTAACAGGACATTTTCAAACCTAGATTCTTAGTAAATGCAAAAAAGTAAAACTAGAATCTTTTTTTTTTTTTAGAGAACCAAATCTACTAAGTTTCCTTGCTTTCTCTTTAATGAAAATAGATTTAAAAGACTGATTTTCATAGCAGAAAGCTAATAGGATTTGAAGTTGCTCAGAGAAATCTATTAAATCCATTTTGAACTCTTCATTTATAGATAATCATTAGTCAAAAGATACTCTTCTGATAAAAATTTTAGGTTTTTTGTGGTCAATGTCATGAGACAAAGTATATGTGAACCGCTGTATGGAAAGTGAATTTGCTCTGTAAACCTTCACCCAAATCACAATAAAAATAAAAAGAGTCCACATACCCAAATTCCCACAGAGATGCTGCCCATAGCTTAAAGTATTTGCTAGGATAGATTTCAGAACAGTTTTCAGCACCTATAATCTTTGTTATACCTCTCTTGTTCCCAAAATAAACATGGTACATTT